GACCCCCCCCCGCGGGCGGCCGCAAGGGCCCCTTGCAGTCTTCCCCCACCGTATTTGCCTAAAAGCTGTCTTTTTGTCTGTCTTATTTTGGGGGGCAACGCTTGACAAAACCCAAGGCTGCTGCTGCGCTGACGCCATGCTTTGTGCTGACCGACCTTGTCTTGCTGGTGCATGCATCTTGCTGCTCCTATCCTGGTAGCACTCGAGCTTTTTGGTAAGTTAAGCTTGGCAGGATTTGGAACAAGGTAAAACTTCCGCAAGCTGGGTGCCTCTTTTTGTTGTGAATTTGTAGACTAAACATAAGAGGATTCTTTACTGATCAACGGTTTTTGTGACAGTACAGCCGATAAACTTATAGGTCATCCTAGCAAGAGCCTAAATAACTTTCTGACATCCTTATTAGTTTTGTTTTTTATTCCTGTGTAATTATTTGGGTAGAATTCTCCAACAGCTTTGTTTGTAAGTTCTTTGTAAAAAGTGAGAAGTCCTTTGTGTCCAAACGAGTTCAAATGTTCCTTGATTTCAGCTTCTGGATGACTGGCAATGTCGCGGAGGTCTGGAGATGATCTCAGGCTTCTGGCAAATGTAATTATCCTCTCAAAGATGTCATCAGCATCCTCCCACATTACTCCTTAAGGTGGTATCGGTTTGTCTGCCTGACTATTTGCAGATAAGACTTGGTCATGGGTAGTTAGGAGGTCTCTGATTTCAGGTCTGTTAGCTGGAGCTCATGACTGAAGTACTTGCCCTAAAGTAACAGTGTGAGGCAACTCTGCATTCCAGTTTAATATACTGGTGTCACACCCTTCCAGTTTTAGTAAGCCTGTGGTGCCTTTAACTTTGCATCTTGTCAGGACTCTTCCTGACAAGGTCTAGGAGAGAAAACATAGGGAAAACAACACAAAGAACTTCTGATGTAAATATATATTCGTCTAAGTTTCAAGATTTGCTGTAGCTATCCTCCAAAAAGAGGGGTTTTTTTTATTATTATTTTCAACTTCAAACTTCATAAATGGTGCCTGTAACAATGAGATTCTTCACCTGATGAAGAAAGCAGGTACAGTAACAGCTTCTTTACTTGTGAAGATGATGTTTCTTAGGCTGATGATGTTGTCTTATAAACACCAAACTTGGGAGATGCTACAGTAATACGTTGGACTTTTATAGAAGTGAACTCTTGTTGTTGTTGTGCTTGCTAGGCATGAATATTTGTCTTAACAAAAAGCTTTTTCAGTAGTGAAGACTGTAGTTTGTGCAGAGTCAGGACAGCTGTCTGTGGAAAAGGATATTCGAATCAGAGTGGGAGGATTTACAAGATTGTGTGGTTCTGTGGAACCTAAAATGTTTGTGGAATTGGATAATTTCAAGTATAGATGACAAAATTAAGTGAGGTACACCTAGTAAGTAAGACTGTCTGTCTTCATACAGACAATTTTCAGACAAATGATGATTCAAACATTAGACTTATTGAATAATCCTGCGTATGAATAACTGTTTGACTCATATGCACATAGTCCAGTATTGCTTAGGCTAAATGTGGCCTTTCCGTAGCTGGGTGGACAAAAATCATGTTTCTCATATCTTAGGAATTTAAAAAGAAAAAAAAAATCCTAAAAGATGCAACAGTGTTAGCTATTTCACCAGTCAGAGGAAAAAAGTCAGGGGTTATAATTAAACAAAAAGTCCATGGTTCAATACATTTCTTGTGATTTTGAAGGCTGAAGGGGTTTATTAGCTCGAGTTTCTAGGAAACAAGACATACTTATTCTGCCTATCTTTTCTTCTCTGACTTTTGAATTTTTGGGTCGATTGCAGTTATGTTTTATTGAAACAGAAGTCTCTAACATGATCCGCTATTTCTACATGATTAAATATAGAGAATGTTTAATTCTTTTAGGAAGGCTTTGTGCAAGTGGATGGGACTGTACTTGGGGCTTATACTATCCCAAGTGTTAAAAACTTGTATTGGAAGAGTAATATTAGAGAGTGTTTCAGTTTCATGCTAAGTTTATAAATGCATGTAAGCCCTTTTTATTAAGGATAAAACTATTCAGAACTGAGTAATATCAAGGGGTGCTTCTAAGGATTTTCTTTTTAATACATTATCTGTTTTCTTAAAGGTTTAGCAGTGTCTTTATTTTAGAGAATGAAAATTTAGAGGCTTGGTCTCTTGGTATATCGTGCTTTCTTCCTGTAGCAAGTGATTTAAGTGTGGCTTGAGTATTTGCTTTTATAGACTTGTTTGTGTTTTTTTTGTGTTACCAAATGATCCAGTAAAATCAGCCCTTTTTCAAAGGTCAATGTTATTCAATAATAAGAGCATTTTTAAAGATATTTATGATGTTTGCAGGTTCTGTTGCTGGGAAGCCTTTTTCTAATGATGCACACAGTAGTTAGGCCTAGCATTTTTTAAGAGAATTTCTTATCAATGTAATTGAGAAGTGTGATTTTTGACTTCCTTTGTTGACAGCTGTTAATGCCATTAATCATAAAATTATGAAAATTACGAAAAGTGGTGAAAATAGTGTCCGAGGCTCTTCTGATTCTGCCGTTTGCCACAAATGCCTTTGGCAGTTCTGTCTTCGTTCCTTGTTTTTTCAACTTCCATCATAAGAGCCACATTTTCATTTCCTCTGAATCATACTCAAATGGGCATCTGTAACTCTGACATCACAGTCTTTTAAGGTAATAGCATGTTGTTAGACTTTTAATGTCACTGTAGGCCTGATAAGGTATCCTGGGCTTGTTGAGGTTAAAGTGTGCATCTGAGTCATTAAGAGGAAGTAGAGGTCTGTATTTAGGTGATTTAAAAGCGTAGATTGGGATCACAGTCTTAGGGCCATGGAGAATAAAGTTAGCTGAGAAGGAGCTACGTGTAATGAAGGTAATTTCTTCAACTTTCCGGTAACGAAGGCTCTTACGTTGCAGTCCAGTGCCTTGGTTAGGCAGTCCCTGGCAGACATGAGCTTCTCTGGCAGTGATGACTAGAAAATGTAATAACAAATATGTTGTGACTCTTAACGCTTGGAATTACCTCTTTTGGGGGTTGAAAAAGTAAAGAGCATTTGGTTAAAAGACATCCAGGACTCTAGAGTTTAGTCCAACAGAATGGTAGACAACAATGGAAAAACACTGAAGTGTAAGTAGAACACTAAGCAATTTTGAAGTAATCTATGAATATGTGGAATACTGGAAAAGAAAAAGGGAGAGAGGAGAAGACAATTTAATAATGCTCTACTAAAAGCAGATACGAACAATGTGAGAGCTTGGAGCTTTCAGACTGAGCCATGAAGGCCTGAAAATGTAGAAGAAAATGTGAAGAACTGGAATGTTATAAAGTTTGTCCTGGACAATTTTGCTGTAATGGTAGCTTTCCCTTTTTAGCTTTGCTGTGATTCATTGACTAAACATGTAGTCTCAAATTATAGCCTTATTTAAACTAAACAGATACCCTGCACTGACAGGGGCAAAGTCTTTTTCTAGAATTTTAATGTGTTATAAAATGTTGTCTTTAATGCATGTTCTGAAAATTGACTTGTTTGGTGGAGCCTTGAATGCAGTTAGAAAATGCCATCAAAATTACCATATCAAATTTGCCTTTTTTTACTTCTGTATTTCTATTAATGCTGCCTGGTCAAAAGGAAAATTTGTTTTTTAAAAAAATATGCTTGCATCTGTAAAGTAGGAACATGTTGAGAAATAATGCTTCATTGTGTTTTGCAGATGCTGATGATTGTACTTAGTTTTTAAAACCATGAAGACGTATGCTTGTCCTACTAAAGGCTTATGAAAAGTAAATCTCATTTTAAGGAAAACAGGAAAGAGTCTGAATGTGAAGTCTAAAATTAGTTGATGTGTGCTTAGTGCCAGCTTCTGTCTCCGATTTATTAAGTTCTCTTAATGCACAACTTTATTTGCCCCATACATTGGAAAGGAAAGAGCATTGAAAGAAATCTGTGGTAACTTCATAGAAATTTCCAGCTCTTACAAAAAGAACCCAGCAGTGACTGGGATGCTCTTTTCCTGAGTACACTGCTTTGCATGCTGACCCATATGGTTTCATTATTACCTTGTACTCTTTTGTTTCTCCTTTTTCTCCCAGTATTCTCTGCACCTGAATTCAGACTTACATTGAAGCAATAAATACTTCAATTGCTTAAAAACTTCCTAAGTAACTATAAAGCATAAAATTAGAAGGAATCATTGTCATCATCCATTCAATCTGCTCTTAACATAAATGAGAGCAATGCCTAATTAACTTTTGTAACTTGGAAACAAATCTGTAGGTGGGGACTGGCCGATTTTCTGAAAAGAACTTTAGGAAGTAGGCCTCCACATTAGTGTCAGTTAAATCTCGCAGTTGAGGGTAATATTATGGTGATGTTTGTCTTACGCTAGGCTGAACTTATCTAGCTTTGAATTCCAGCTACTCGCTTTTGTTATAGCCTTGTCCTCCAGACTGATGAGGGTTATCGAATTGTAGTTCTTCATGCAAGGACTTGAACTGATATCGGTCTACCCTGTGTGTTTCTCATAGAAGAAGATTCTAGAGCATTTGCTGTAAGTGGATATTTCCCAACAGATTTTGTTGGTGTTCTTAACTACTTGAATTTTGGATATATTCTAGAGGCCGTTCACGAGGTTCATGAGCCTCCTGAGCAGAAAAGTAATATGGCTGGGTACCTAAAGCTTCATTTAACGTGTATCTGGGAATTACATTCACTCTTACGCTTGTTACGTTCACTCCTATGCTTGTTATGTTATGTAAGAATCTCATGTTTAAATGATTATCCAGCATGGTTTTCAAATCGAGTGGCTTGTTCCAGTTAAATGTAAATTGGACATCTCTAAACTGAACCGAAGTTTGTTTAGTTTTTTTTTTCCTACTCCTGTACAACTGAACTATATCACCGACTTACTTTTTTGATTATTAGCTTCTTAATCTTTTTATGATGCACTCTTTCTTTTAGAATTACGGTGAAAACACGTACTTTGTCAAGAATCTGACTTCACTAGAATCTAACAATCCAGGTGCTTGATGATGCTCTGTCCGCAGTTGAATACTGGGACCCATCAGGCAGCCAATTCACAATCTGTTCGGTGCATGCTATTTTTCAGTGCATTTTACTTTTTTGTTCTAGTTTGTTCCTCAAAGTACTGTAGAGTATACAGTCAGAAGTACAGTGTACTGAAGGCTGCCTATTTTAGGGCAGTACTGTTAAACACAGTAAAGAAGAGGCTGTGTCCTGATTTCCTCTTTGGGACTCTTTGGAGTATCTCTGAGTATCTTGGGAGCCAACATGAGGTTAGGAAACCTCTGTCAGTGAAGTCAGAGGTCAGCACCTTGGTGAGAAGTGTAGCTGCAGCTCTTTGTGGGCAGAAAGTCGGTGGCCCATTTCTTAGGGTGGTGTTTTGGCCAGAACACTTTTGGAGGAGACTTCCTCTATCATACCAGACTGTATTGACTATCTGTCTGAAACTAGTTGCTGAGGAGGAAAAAAGGAAGTCTGAACTAGCCATTTCCCTTGGCTGACTGAAGTGAAATAAAATGGTCACTGTTCTGTTCTCATCACTTATTTTCTTTGTCATTTCTCCAAATTAATTTTCCCTGTAAGCAATGATCTGTTGTCGATTCTATAGTACATCAAGGTGTTTATAAGGTGAACTTTTGTAGGTCAAAAATGTTTTATATGTGTCTAACTCCTTCAAAGCCACTTTAGAAATGAAGAGTGGCCTTTGAGCACACAGTTTCTGTATTGCCATGATCTTGCAATAAGCCCTCTTTATGAATGATGAATGAAAGAAATGGAGCAAGAAACATTTTTCTGAGGGAACATATAGTGTTTTACAGATATTTGCTGTGATTTGTCTTACTGCCTGTGGCTTTCTTAGCCTTCCTTTTGATGAGTAGCCACTAAAAGTGATTCAGCTTGCATAACAATGACTTCTGAAAGCTTACTATTCAGAGTTCCCTTAAAGCTGATTTCTCCACTCTGAGGCAGTTCATGAGGCAGATCTATGTCATATGTTTCTCTGAAGTGAGTTATGGCTTGCAGTGGAAGTAGCAGCTAAATGCTTGCACCTAGCTACTGATTCTAATTTGAAATGATTGCTCTTTGTGGCCTCATGCAAGTTCCTGTGCAGTTGTTCGGTGGCAAGCATGCAACTTCCCTGGCTTTGCTTTTTATATGTATACATTTATATTTATTGTGTGAGTGTGCAATTAAAACACTTTGGTTTGGAGACAAAAATTGAAATGGCATTTTGGGCATGAAGTTTTACAGACTGTTCAGAATGTGTGGATCACATTGTTAGAACCTGCCTCCTTGCATCCATGCATCTCCTGCCACGCTTCCTGGCTGCTCTGGGCTGGCACGGCCGGTTTCAGAAGTAACCAAACAGTAGCTCAATATCAAGTTGTTTGTGCAGCTTCCAGGAACGGTTTGTGTGGGAGCGGGGGTAAATGTTTGTAGAGCCACGGAGTGCACCAGGTGAGTCTTAACCTGGGTTAGGTTACCCTAGGGAAACAAGGAGGATTTTAATCTGCATCTCTGTTCTAGTTAAGTTTGCTTTGTGCCTATGCGAATGCTGGTGCTGCTGTAAGAGGGAGAGGGGGGATGACTAATGGGAATAGAAGCAAAGTGGAAAGAGAGATGTTATAACAGCTATTCACGTAGAGGAATTGACTAAACAGACTGTTTGAAACCACTTTACTAATGTGCGGAAATAAAAATTATATGCTACTTCTGCATATTAGTTATTTTTGTTAGGAATTTCCTCATGTAACAATTTTATCATCATGTTTCAGGAAAAAATACCTAGCTATAATGCCTCTTATGCACTGTTTTTTTTTTTAAATGCTCACCTTCTTTTTCTTCTACTACTTATTTTATCTATTTTGTTTTTTAGACAATGGGCACTGCATATTAAGCAGGGGTGGAAGACTGAAGCCCATCTGGGGGCAGAATGAGTTTAAAAGATGCCGACAGTGCAGTTTGCCAGGCAAAGGCAGCCTATAAGCTTCATATTTACCCCCAGCTCTCAACAGAAAGTGCTCCCTGCTGCAAAGTGACAGCAACCAAGGACAGCACATCATCAGATGTCATCAAGGATGTGATTAATATCTTAAACCTGGATGTCTCAAAACATTATGTTCTCGTGGAGGTGAAAGAAGCAGGTGGTGAAGAATGGGTACTTGATATAAACGATTCTCCTGTTCATAGGGTTTTACTTTGGCCTCGTCGTGCTCAGGATGAGCATCCTCAAAAGGATGGGTACTACTTTCTTTTGCAAGAAAGGAACACTGATGGGACTATCAAATATGTGCAGATGCAACTGCTATCCAAGGAGACGGATGCTCGGCGCTTGGTGGAGCGGGGTTTTCTACCCTGGCATCAGGAGGACTTCGATGACTTGTGCAATCTACCCAACCTAACAGAGACAACACTCCTAGAAAATCTCAAATGCCGCTTTCTAAAACACAAAATTTATACTTACGCAGGAAGTATTCTGATTGCAATTAACCCCTTCAAATTCCTGCCCATTTATAATCCTAAATATGTCAAGATGTATGAAAATCATCAGCTTGGGAAGTTGGAGCCTCATATTTTTGCCATTGCTGATGTGGCTTATCACACAATGCTTAAAAAACACGTCAATCAGTGCATAGTTATATCAGGTGAAAGTGGGTCTGGAAAAACTCAAAGCACAAACTTCTTAATTCACTGCCTCACTGCACTGAGTCAAAAAGGGTACGCAAGTGGTGTGGAGAGAACAATTCTTGGAGCTGGACCAGTTCTGGAGGTAAACTTATGCTAAAATTACCTTTCCTGAAAACTGCTTTTTGAAAAATTTCAGTAACTGCTGTTGAATACAATTTTTTTTTTTTTGAGTCACCTGCTTGACATAGACTTCAGATATCTCTGGGCTGCATCAGTGTTTGGCTCTGTTGTGGGTCCGCTTCTAAATGATTTTCGTTAATTCATACTTCCTTGCAGTAGGCTTCCTGTAGCTTTTAGGTGATATTTGTCTCAACTTTCCGCAACTAGATGCTAATATTCTGGGACAGAGGTTGCTTGTGTTGTCCCTCTTTCTCTCAAGTTCTGGTGGCATCTGAATCAAGCTGAGATTGTAAGTAAATGATTTCACAAATAAATTATTCCACAGAAATATTAACTGCTTAATGTAATTATGCTATTGTGTATAAGTATGTCCCGTAGCTTTTTTTTATAATGAACTAACTTTTCAAGGGAAGAACTAACTTCCAAGTGAGTTGTTTTCTTGATACAAATTTTTTGCTTTGAAAAGCACATTTTTAGTTGAGGAGAAACTGTGAGTCAGTTTGGGCTTTTTTTCTAATAGAAAGCAAAACTAACCACTAGAGTGAAAGGGGTGCAACTGGTTTTGCACAGGGTAACAAGACGATAAACAGGTCATGTAGACTGCAGCTTTTCCCTTATACTCTCTGATCCAAAAGGAAAAACTTTGAAATCTTTGCTTGGTGTAACGGTCCCCAGCAATACGGCAAGGAGTTCAAGTATTGCCTTTGGAATTCTTAAGTATACTCAAACAACATTTTTTTTAATCATTATTTAGCTTTTATTTTAGTTAAACAATGTGAAAAAGTAATCAAGTAAACCTTAAATTGTGCTATATTTATAGATGGGATTTGAAAGCTTTTCTTTAAAGAATGAGGAATATATGCAAGTTCCCCTTTGCCTTTCTTTCTTCTGCTTGAAAGCAGAAGCAGAATGTTTGAGGTTTGCTGGTTGCTGGAGCTCAAGTTTGCTGTTCTTAATACAAAACAGGAAGGGGTCACTGCGGAAAGCACTGTCTGATCAGCTGATCTTTCTGTGTTTGAGAGTTAACTGTTTCAGGCCCTGCTCTGCGGGACTTACAGGTCATATTAGGGCAAGGAGCGGAAGTCTTGTTGTTTTTGTGCATGTACATTAAAAAATAGAACTCAAATTTACTGGTGTCGCAGGTAAATATTGCTTAGGATTGCAAATGTGCATGAAAAGACATGAGGTTTTCTACAGGAAGGTTGGTTGACGCATGTGCTGCAGCTTGTCAGACTTCGATTGAGCAATTTAGTGTGCATTTCATGTGGAAATAGTCTTGCTAGCTAGAAATCTGCTGAGCAATTGAGAGCTTAGCTTGCAAGTTTGACAAATTATAGCACTGATGTTGGAGGACATATCTAAAATGTTAGACTTCTGAAATTCTCAGAGAAACTTCTTGTTCTGTGTTGTTGATCCAGTGTGTAGTTGCTTCAGACTTGAAGAAGATGGAGAGTTTTGTGATAACTAAATATCAAAATACAGAGCATATATATCCTAAAGTTACTTTCAGATTTGAATGCATGCTTTTGTATGAAAAGTATTACCCATTAACTTGACCCTAAGGAGAAAGAAACCTTTTTGAAACGGAGAGAGGCTGAGTAGAGATGGGTGAGGGTCAAAGGAAGCCAGTGCGTACCTGTGATTGTGGCACAACCCACTGCTAAGGTAGTAGGGGTAGAAATCAGTACCTCTCTATTCCCTTAGCTTCAGTTCACATCAAAAAGGGATGCTGCAGTGGGTTTAGGCTATGGAGAAGTAAAATCAAGCTCTCCTACGTGCCTCACTGTAGAGCAGAGTCGGTCAGCAGTGGAGTTCTCAGGGTTCTAGCATGGATGCTCCTATGCAATTCCAGTTAAGTGCAGTTCAAAAAAATCGAGTCAAAATTTGATCTCGGAGAAGAATGTGGTGAAAGTTTACCCAGTTTGTGGAATCTGAACCTCTTAACAAATGAAACTCTTGTTTTAGTGTTGGTCACTGTTTCAATCAAATTATGGTGACTCATGTGGGTTTTTACTTAACGGAACTTAAGTGGAACAAGGAAATTTCTCTTAAATGGGTGTTTTGGGGGAATTTTTTGCATGGACAGTTTTGAAGTGTGCCTAAATTATTGGAGAATGTTCTGTTTAATTCTGAAGTTTTAAGTCTTCTGAAGTGGCTTCCACAGATGAAAATACAGCCTTTGTCTAGAGATAGTCTGATTCCTCTGATATAAAAGCTGTTACATTCTGTCTCAGAACTTCCCCTTTTTAGTGACCTCTTTTCTTCCTGACACTTACATTAAAGGCATCTGTTTATAGACTGACCTTCTGTAGAAGTTCAAGCATTTTAGCACAGACGAGGTGAGTGCTGGTAGTGTAGGTGGAAGTGGACTTAGGTTTTTGCAGGATATCATGGATTGTCTCTAGTGAAGTATCCCGAGCTAGGTGCTAAAAATTGTCAGGAAAATAAAGATGGGTTCTGTTTTAAGATACCTCTGACTTTTTCCTCCTCTTCTAAATTTGGTATTTAAAGTATAACTCTGAGAGGAGTTTTGCCTTCTAGTATTAAGTTCAGTTCTACTATTAAGTTCAGTTTATGGTTGAAGTCCCAAGAAGGAATGCACATTTGGGAGCTATTATACAGGTCAGACTGGGAATAGAGAGTCAAACCATTGTTTATTTTCTCGAGTTTGTTAATTCATCCTTTCCATACATGCTTAGGAAGTTTCCAAGAAATTCGTATTTTCCTTTCATCAAGGAAAAAACGCCTTACACCATATGTTTTGGATATAAAATATGTAGTGCACACTTTAAGACCTATTTTGAAGACCAAACATTAAGATAAAGCACAGCTTTTTAAAATATTCATAAATTTATTTACCATAATAGGTATAAATGCTTGATTTTTGATGATTTAGCCAAAAAAACACCAAATAGAAGATAAGGAAAGAGGCGGAAGGCAGAGGTATTAGTGTTGTCACAGCAATTTCTCATGTTAATTTAAAAAGCACCATTTATTTCCATGTGGACATGGTCCCAGAGGTTTAGTAATAGTAGTGAACCATTCTCTGGAAAGAATTAAGGTCCAAATAAAATGGAAAGTCCAACAGGGAATATTCATTAAGTGATCTAGAGGAGGCTGTTGTAAATATGAAGTAAGTAAACTTGACAGCGCAGTTGAGGGGGTAATGAGATTTACTGGAACTCAGCCAGCATGCTTCAGAGCTGACTCAATTTCATTGTAGAAAATGAACTTTTATGTTGTACCATTCTATAGAAAGCAGTAAATCCATTGGTTGTCAGTTCTGTTTTCTTCAATACAGCCCAATTGTGCTTGTAGTTTTGATATGAGATGGAACTAAATCAAGTGGTGCTTCGACTCCGGTTTTCAGTTGTGTTTGCCATAAAAGTCTGCATATATATTTAGTGGGTGTAGTCTGTTCTACTTAAGGTAATGTAGTTGTTTGGAGACTATTATTGTCATGTATTTGTTTTAAGAATCCTATTCAGAGAAGGAATGGAACTTCCTTTTTCCACTCGTTTGCTTGGGAAATCTCTTGGGAAAATTACCTTGTCCTGCCATGGGTTTGAGTTAGATTTGCATAGACACTCTTGATAGCATTTTCAGATTTTTGGCAAGTCTCATGAAAGAGTTAAATTTGAGAGTTTCTCATTTCATTTTTTCCCCTTTTATGACCTTATGCAATAATGTCCTTTTTTTTTTTTTTCTTCAAAGTATCCTGAAGGCTTTGGTAGTAGCGGGTGGAATTTGAGTCTAAATTCAAATATTACGAGGGAAAAAAAAACCTAAAATGCCAAGTGACTTGGAATGTTCTTTAAAAATATAGTAGCTCTTAATAGCCTATATGAGAAAATGTTTAAATGCATGAAAACTTCCCCAAAACTGGTAATATTAGATCAGCTTTTGAGAATTTGCTGTATGCTTTGACTAAATACCAGACATATGAGATCATATCAGCCATTAGTAGTTTTAAACTGTATTCACTGCTTACATGAATAATCACTAAGAAAAGCTTTTCAGGAAGCTACAGTTGTGGGATTTCTGAACTCTGTGATGCCAAATACGTACTTTTTAAAGAAATAATTGGGCAAATGCAGCTATAGTGTGTCTTGGTTTGTTTAATAACTGGTAGACTAGTGGTCTTTAGTTAGAAAACTTTTTGAGAGAATAAATTCACAAGTCTGCCACTCCACGGCTGGGCAAAGCTTTACTGTGGCAGATTTTGAAACGCTAAATGAAAAGCTGGGTGGTTTTCTTCGGAGAGCCATGGCTGTGAATAGGCTTCTGACTTGCAAAGCAGGTCATTTATTGTCCTGATGTTACAGGACTTCTGCTTTTGGTTTGACATCATAAAAGGTTTTCGTTAAGATTTTATAAAAACGCTGATGCTACATATGAAAAGTGGCCTCTGAAAGAAAAACAGAAAAAAAATGTTTTCAGTGAGGTACTACCTACAAAAAGATAGTAACTGTGTTGGGTAGTTGATGCAAAAAAGATGCTGATGCTTCTGGTCATCATGTCCTCTCTGAGAAAGTGGAGTGGGGATGCTGTTTGCATTATAACATAGTTGCACCATAATTGGGCAATTTAATTTAGGATCGGTTTACGTCTGTTTTGTACAGTGCTCATGTGTCCATCATTGTGTGTTTGTGTGAAGGAAGAGGGTGGCATTTTTTGTGAAACCGTTCCATGAATTTGTTCTATATTAGGCGAGACGGATTTCCTATGGGAGGCCTCAAGTGCCTGGGAGCTCTAGGAGGAAATATCTGTGGCAGGAATTGCTGGTGATGTTTCATACTAAGTGGTTATTTCTCTAAACAGTTGCATTCCACACTGGTTGCTGCTTCATACACTGATCACCTTCCACATGTTAACATGATGAGAGGTTCCTCTTACATTAAGGAACCATAGTTAAGAGTTGATAAAGTTATGGTTATTCCCAATATCTAATTCTCATAATAAGACAAAGTTTGTGACTTTATTACCATGGGAGAAGAAATTTCATAGTAATTATGCTACTACCTACCCGTTGTCCTCTTTAAGTTCATAATTGGTTATGATTGAGGTTGACTTGAGCTCTCTAGCAGTGTTTAATTTTTAGTACACTTAAAAATGCCTAATTAAGTTTATTCCCCTTCCTCAGGCTCCCAGATGCTTTGCAAGAACAAATAATAAACGTGTGTTGCCCTTTGCCAACCAGTGGAGGCTTCCTAAGCTCCCTCTTCAGTATCTACCTGCTGCCATTCTGTAATATTTTGGGCATTTGCTACCAGCTGAGAGAGGGTTCAACAATGAACAGAAGATTTTGAAAAGCTCTGTGCTGTTTCATTTGGTTTAATTGAAAGTTAACTTACTTTGTTTTATTACAGGCATTTGGAAATGCAAAAACAGCACACAACAATAACTCCAGTCGTTTTGGAAAATTTATTCAAGTCAACTATTTAGAGAATGGTATTGTCCGAGGGTAAGTACAGTATGAGGTTCTTCTAGGTTTGGGCTGTGTGCTTTTGAGAACTAATCAAGACTTATATTCTGTATGAAGTGCTGCCTTAAGGAGGCACTTGTGTGTGGAGCTTGTCACTGTGGATGTGTGTTCAAGGCTCAGTATTGTTAATCCAGGTGGTGGTGTTTTCCTCTTCTACAGGAGTAGACACTTTCACTCCAAGTGAATAACTTACTTGGCATAGGTACTGTTATAAAACCTAGCAAATTTGTTAGTGTCAGAAGCAGCCAGTTGTTCAGTATAATTTGGGAAGGACTTGTAGCCTTTGTATTCCTTGCCATCTGGCAAGGATTAGTAGTTATCTAACTATTAATTCTGGAATAGATAACAGATGGTTAGCACTTTACATGTTTTGTTTCTGCTTATAATTTTGGAATAGATAACATTTATTCTGGAATATTAATTCTGGAATAGATAACAGATGGTTAGCACTTTACATGTTTTGTTTCTGCTTATAATTTTGTATCAGTGCTTTTCTCAGCTTCATCTGCCTCTTTTGAGTTATGTCTGCTAAAACCCAGCAAGATAGATGTATTCTGGGTATTTTTTCTCACTGTCTCAAGTACAATATAGACCGTATAAGTTTTTCTGTTTTAGCGTGGAGATAACAACTAAGCCATTCTCTTATCTATTCTAGAGCATATTTCATTATTTGAACTCTCTTGGCAATTGCTGTCCAGTGCTTTGGGAGGTCTAACATTTTTTTCTCCTTTTTTTGGGGCGCTTCAGGGCTGTTGTTGAAAAATATCTTCTTGAAAAATCTCGCCTGGTTTCTCAAGAAAAAGACGAAAGGTAAGAGACTAGTTCTGTGCTGCTATCGTGTTTCAGCTGAAAGCTGAATGCCCTTACTGCAGTGTTGGTATGCATGCTTATCTTAAAAATATATATTTGTATATGCCACTTTAAGAACAAATAAGTTCTTCTTTATTATTAACGTGCTGCCTAATTGATATGAGAGCCTAAAAGCATTTAAAGCATATAGGGTAAAAAAAAATCATTCTATATTCATGAAAGAGAAATGTATTTGACTTTGTAGGAACTACCAT